AGAAGGCCGAATTGAGATAGACATGGGCCAATAAACGCTGGCGGCAGGTGTCAGGGAGCAGCCGCTTCTGTCGGGGCCGCGAGGGGCCGGTGGAGCTTGTGAAGCCCAGCCCCTCTCGGTCAGAGCTGCCCAAGGAAGCCCCGAGCTGGTGAGGAATAGCAGCTCCCACCCGCGGCCCCTGACTTGGAATTGGCCCTTCTTGTGACACGTTTGACAAAGGAGGGGACTTGCTCATCTTAAGCGTGCCCCTTGCTGCCAAGATAATGGTGGAAAACTAGGGAAATGGAGGCAGAGTGGCTCTGGGCAACCTTTAGGAACACCTCCATTGTAGGGTCAAGGGTTGAGTGTGTCATGGTGTGTATTTAAAAGAATTTAAAAAAATGTTTTTAATGTTTATTTACTTTTGAGAGAGAGAGAGAGAGAGAGAGAGAGAGAGAGACAGAGAATGAGCCGGGGAGAGGCAGAGAGAGGGAGACACAGAATCTGAAGCAGGCTCCAGGCTCCGAGCTGTCAGCACATAGCTGGATGCGGGACTCGAACTCATGAACCATGAGATCATGACCTGAGCCGAAGTCAGACGTTCAACCGACTGAGCAACCCAGGTGCCCCTAAAAAATTTTAAAAAACAATTTTTTTAAATATTTATTTATTATTGAGAGACAGAAAGACACAGAGCATGAGCAGGGGAGGGGTAGAGAGAGGGGGAGACACAGAATCCAAAGCAGGCTCCAGGCTCCCAGCTGTCGGCACAGAGCCCGACGCAGGGCTCGAACCCACGAACCGTGAGATCATGACCTGAGCCGAAGTCGGACACTTAACTAACTGAGCCACCCAGGCACCGCTCCCCCTGAATTTTTTTAAATGTTTTATTTATTTTTTGAGAGAGAGAAATAGAGAAAGAGCGCAAGCAAGGGAGGGGCAGAGAGAGAGGGAGACACAGAATCAGAAGCAGGCTCCAGGCTCCGAGCTGTCGGCACAGAGCCCGACGCGGGGCTTGAACCCACAAGTTGTGAGATCATGACCTGAGCCGAAGTCGGTTGCCTAACCGACTGAGCCACCCAGGTGCCCCCATCTTTCTTGCTTACGCTCTGAGGGAGAACCACACAGAGGTGGACGCGCCGTCAGTGGCCTAGAGATGGCTGGTGAATGGGGCCCGGGGGCGCACTTGGCGAGGCTGAGCGCAGGAAAGGGCAGGAAGGGATTAGAGGGAGTGGTGGTGTGGCTTCTGGGCAGGGGAAGTGGGACCGGGGAGGGGGGAGGGAAATCACAGCCAGGTGACCAATGGGTGAGGGCACCGAAGACAACATTTGGTCACATGCATCCGCTCCTCATTCATCAGACGGCTCTCAACGCCTTCTGAGTGCCGGAGAGCGTTCTCAGATCTGAGCTTTGCCAGAAGAACTGAGCTCGGCCCCTTGAGGTGGCCACACACGACGAGGACGGAACAGTGGGGGTGGTGAGCACAGGGCCACCGTCTAAGAGAAGATTCGGCAATGGGGAGCTTTCTTCTCTGGCTACATCCATAGACCCTCACTATGTGCCACACGCCAGCTCGAGGGCCCCCCTTGCATGTCGTTGCTCACTGTTCACAAAGGAGCCCTTCGAGCCAACCTTCAGCGGAGCCCAGACGCCCGCCTGCTGTCCACCCTGCCTCCCAGTGTGATGGGAGCGGAGCCGGAGAGCAGGGCCGAGGCTGGAAGGAGGACCGGGTGCTGCAGAGAGGAGCCCTCGTTCTGTTGCCTGACTGCCCAGGAGAGCTTTGGAGGGATCACGGGTTTTCAACCCCATGTTGGGGCCATTCAGGGGCTGCAGGAAGACCTGAGTTTGGTGCGTTGGAAAGAAAAAACCCAAACCCCTCGTTTAAGTGACCTGCCCACAGAGCATAAGTTCCCTGAACATTATCACTGTCTCCTCAAGGCATGTTGAATCCCGTCCAAGGAGTTGGGACCATCTCTATTCCAGAAAAAAGATGTGGCTGGGCGTGACGCCCAGCCCTCTTCCAGAGTGAAATCCTGCCTTGATGCTTTTCATCGTCTGGCTGTGAATCACTGTGCTTTTTAAAGGATCGAAAAAGCGGGGCGCTGGGGGGCTCAGTCGGTTGAGCGTCCGACTCTTGATTGTGGCTCAAGTCAGGATCCTGGGGCCGTGAGATCGAGCCCGGAGTTGGGCTCTGCACTGAACGTGGAGCCTGCTGGGGATTCTCTCTCTCTGCCCCTCCCCACTCACATGCATGTGCGCACACTAAAAGAAAATAAGAGAAAGTAACAGAAAAAGTGATCCCTAACCTGTTTAGCAATTGGGAAAACTTTGGAGGTGAACAGAAAATTCTTCTACCTAGATTTTTCTTCTTTTTTTAAATGTAAAAATCCCGTATGAAGGTGCCAGGCTGGCTCAGTCCGTGGCCTGTGCGACTGACCCTTGATCTCTGGGTCATGAGTTCGAGCCCCAAGGTGAGTGTAGAACTTACTTAACAACAACAAAAAAGAGCCTTAAAAAAATCAAAATCATGTATGAAAAGGAGCAATGTGGTTGTTGTAACAAACGAGCAGATAAAGCATTTTGAAGGTCGGGTGATACATCGCTGTGAGATTATTATCAATAAAGCAGTTTAGATAAATATAGCCTCTCCTTCTTAGCTTTTAAAATAATTAATCACAATTAATAATGTTCTTTCCGAAAGAATATTTAACCAAGATTGCAGTAACGCAGTTTGGTTTTGAAGTTTGTATATTTTTTGTGTCACCACGTTTAATATTTAAGAAATAATCCTCTTTTGGATTTCTGTCATATCATCTGTCATATCACAAAACATCTTCATTTATTCTTCTTTTTTGTTTCGTTCTTTTTTCTGTTTCCTCCTTTCCTCTTCGCACCCCCCTCCCCCCCCCCCCCCCCTCGCCAACCCTTCTCCTACCTCTCTTAACAAGAGGACGTTCGATGTGTGGCTGGTTTTCTTCCGCAAATGGTATGAATGAGGCAAATCATGAGTCATGCGAAAGCCGTACAACATCAGCTTGTGCCAGCACGAGGACGGAGCCATGGCCCGTCCAAGCCTTTTGTGTTATAGGTGAGAAGCCAAGAGACCACGGCCGGTCTGAGGTGTGGGAGGTCTTCGTGCAAGGCAGGGCTGGGACCCCCAGATGCTGGTGTTCATGGTGGGCTCTCCCGCAGATGTTTCCAGTGTTGACACCCATCTACCTGTTTACAGGCGTTCCTTGTTTCATTGCAAGTCGCGTTATTGTGGTCTGCAAATCCTGCTTTTATTTTTTAAATGTTTTATTTTGAGAGTGCAAGTGGGGGAGGGGTGCAGAGAGAGAGAGAGAGAGAGAGAGGGAGAGAGAGAATCCCAAGAACACTCAGTGCTGTCATCACAGAGCCCGATGCAGGGCTTTGAACTCATGAGCCGAGAGATCGTGAGCGGAGCCGAAGTCGGACACTCAGCCGACTGAGCCACCCGGGTGCCCCTGTAGATTTTTAAATGAATTACACACTCATACCTGCTAATTCACCCATTTTTTTGTTTGGGGTATTCATGTTTTAAAAGTGGACTTGAAGGCATTACATTTGTGATGGTTTATTTTGAAAGCTTCAAGAACATTCGGATGTATTCAGCAACGTGGAGATCGTATTCTGGGGTGCATGCTGCGTCCTTGATATTTTAAGGTATTCACTGAAACCACCTGATTCCCTCCCCCCCAAAAAAATCTCTGGACATTTTTTTCTAAGTAATTTGAGGGTCAGTGTAAATGAGAGTGCCTAGTTATGGATGCCACTGGATTCTTTGAATAGAATTACACTCGTAAGTCAAATAAGACAATTCATAACAATTTGGTCCAGCATTTTAATTTTGTCTGTTAAATTATTCATGTGAATACTTCTATGAGTTTAGCCATGAATATTTGATTGGTGGTTGATTCATGACCATAAACTATCTTAGCCCTTTATTTCCCCCATTTATGTTCAGTTAACGCATGGGAAGGGGGGGAGGATTTATTTTTCTTAATAATGAGAAACACCTTTCCCCACAGGCTTATCCCGCTGTCTGATGAACATTTACAGTGGCTGGCGGTCAAACTGTACCTGTTCTGCTAGTTTCATAAGTGTGGCAATAAGAATCCTCGTTACCTAGAGGGAGAATATAAATCTCTGTTTCACAGCTGAGGGAAGTGACATGCAGTGGGGCTGGGAATTTCCAGGAGTCACCCAACACGTTGGCGGCTGAGACTGGATTCCAGTCCAGTGCTTCCTCCCCCACTCGCCCCCCCAGTGGCTGTTGTGATCGATCCTCTCTGAGCAAAGCCAGTGGGCAGATAAAGGGCCATTCTCTGACTGTGTTCTTCCTCCATCAGCAGGCGTATTTACTAAGTAGACTCCAACACCCAGAAAGCCACATTCTGTTTCCATTTTCTGTGCACCTGGCTGCATAGACAGAAACTGCCCTGATGTAAATAGGTGTTTGCAGCCATTGGCTGCTGCAGATGTATTTGAGCAGGTGCATAGTTTGGTAGGCAGCTGAGTGTGGGTAGCTAGATGCGACTGTCATAAGATGCCACTTGAAGGCTACTTCGGGGGCACCTGGGTGGCTCAGTCCATTAAGCATCTGACTCTTGATATCAGCTCATGTCATGATCTGACAGTTCGCGAGTTCGAGCCCCGAGTCGGGCTCTGTGCTGACAGTGCGGAGCCTGCTCAGGATTCTCTCTCCCTCTCTCTCTCTCTCTCTCTCTCTCTCTCTCTGCTCTTATCCCACTTTCTCTTTCTCAAAATAAATAAATAAACATTAAAAATATTTTAAAAACTAGGGGACAAAAAGGCTACTTTGTGAGGTGTGGCTTTTGGTAGACAATGATGGTGTCATTGATTTTGGCGGGTCACAAGCCATCACGCTCACCAGTGACCTTTCAGTTCCTCTTGATTCTAAACAGAGTGAGTCTTGCTTCTGTGTGAGAGAAAGGGCTCCTTAGCCAAAGGTTAGTGAGGAAATCAAATGGCTTTCTCAGGGATCATTTTGGAAATCTGGGACGGCCAGCAACCCAGAACGTCTCAATTACGTTAGCTTAACTTAGATTCACATAGTTCTCCTGCTAGATCTGCATACAGAGTGCCCCAGGTGGATGTATCCAGCATTACACTCTCACAGAATGATCAGGATGTACGAATATTTTTATACTTATACTTCTAGTCCTATATGAGAAAGGATCAAACTGCATTCAATAATATGCCTTTTCTAACACTAAGATCGCTTTGACTTCATAACTGCTCTGCGAGAGTTATATATGAATCACCATTGACCAATGCATTTTATAACCCAGCTGACCATGAGAATCTCTTAGGATGTTGTATCTATCTATCTATCTATCTATCTATCTATCAGAGAGAGCACCTGCATGAGTGGGGGAGGGGCAGAGAGAGAGGGAGAGAGAGACTCTCAAGCTGGCTCCATGGTCAGTGTGGAGCCCAACACGGGGCTTGATCCCAGGACCCTGGGATCATGCCCTGAGCCAAGATCAAGGGTCGGATACTCAGCCGACTGAGCCACCCAGGCGCCCGCTAGGAAGTTATTTTTTAAAAGTGCATTTTAGTCTCTGAATATGTGGAGATGTGATTCTGTCCGAGGTGGGGCCTGGGAATCAACTTTTCTAACCTTCCCCTCCCCCCCGCCCGATGAATGAGAGTCGTAGCCCGGCTTGCCGGACTGCCGTGTCCACCGCCCACCCTCGTCAGAGCCGCACTGGTGAAAGGATGAAATACCACTTTGGTTATAATACTGTGCATCTCCTCACCTGGTTGCTGGGGTTGACGGCCTCCGGTTGGTGTGGAATCTAATCCCTGGTCCCGAAAGTGTCTGGGAGGCGCTTCACCAGCCGGTGCCCAACCCCCTCCAACCTCCAGAAACCCCCACGTTTCTGCTCCCACGCACAGTCATTCACAGAATACGCCAGCCTTGTTAATATCCCACGTGTTGGTCCTTAAACATCAGATTTTCTCCGTTCGCCTGTGGGGTCTTGTGGGATCCCAAGAGATGTGCATCTGTCCGTGCCCCCGGCTCCTGGCACAGAGGCCCTGAACCCTCTGTCATTTCCCAAGTGATAAAAGCAGGGGAGCATCTGTTGTTCTAGGATCTGTCTTCGACTTTATTCCTGACCAGGGCTCCTAGTACATTCCCAGGTGATAAGAACACTAAGGTCATCTTTTGTTCTGACGAGACGACTTGGGGGGGGCTGCTCACCAGAAAGATCGAGCCGATCAGAAGCTTGGCATTTTCAGCCCCGTCCCCCATCCTCTGGAGAGGGGAGAGGGGCTGGACACGGAGGTAATGAAGGGAATGTCTGCATGATGAGAGCCCCACAAAATCTCAATAGTAAGGGGTTCAGCCCAGGTAGGTGACCGCGTGGAGGTGTTGGGGATATACTGGAGAGGGCATGAAAGCACAGTGTCCCTCCCCAAATGTCTCGCCCTGCACGTCTCTTCCACGTGGCTGTTCGTATGTGGCCTTTGTCGTATCCCTTTGTAAGCTGGCCCACGTGAGGACCCGTTTCCCTGAGTTCTGTGAACCACCCTAGCACGTCGGTCAAACCCAAGGCTCGGGTCATGGGAGCCTCTGATCTACAGTCAGTGGCTCGTAAGCACGGGGGACAACCTGGATCGGTAGCTGGTGTCTGGAATGGGGGAGGGGTAGGCCTGTGTGACTGAGCCCTCAGCCCGCGGGGTCTGACACTGCAGGGAGGTCGTGCCCCCAGTGAGTTGGACGGTAGGCCACCCAGCTGGTGTCACGGACATGTGCTTGACACGTGGAAAGAAGCCCTACGTCCGGTGACCAGAAATGTCTGAGGTGACGTGTGCTGTCCGAGGTCAGGCAGACCTGACTCTGCTCGGGAGGCAGACTGAACTGACTTCCTGATGGAGGTCTCACTGACTGTGCCTGACCGTCCCCACGGCCGTGACTGTTGTCTCACTTGCCCTAAACACGTCAGACCGCCTGCTTGGCACCAGTCCTTTCGGCCCTGCCCACACGGATTGCCACGCTCGATCGCCTTGTGTTCGGTCATTTCTTTACATTTTTAGCGCGACCCCTACGTGATGTCTTTTTTGAGGACAAAAAATAGCCCGCTACCCGCCGCATCCTGGGCACAACGTGATGTCGGACAAGGGAGGGGGTTATTTCAGGAAGGCATTTGTATCCCCAGCTGCTTCTCCACAGCTCTGTGCTCACCGCTATTGCAAATAATTTCTCTTTCCAAATGGGAGCGTCTTTAAAAATGATTTCTTTGGGGATTTGAAACGTATTCGCTGTGCTTTTATTAACCGTATTTCAATTTGATATGTGTGGGCAGTGTGATCAATTTAGCATAACTGTCTTCTTAGAAGGCCACCTTCCTCCTCAAACAGTTTCTGTTGGGTTTTCTGGAGCCCTGCAGAAGGAATTGCGAGGAAGACCATGGGGCATGGCTGTGTCTGTCCTTTGGACGAGGATTAGGGCTGTGGTCCCTGGGTCTGCCTCTCCTTTCCTCGTTTTGTCATCCTCACACCGGATGTGACAGTTGCTGGCACCAGCCGGTCGGCCCGCACTGGACAGGTTGATTGCGGCCACGTCTGTGTTGTCACGAGGCCGGGAGGAGCCTGGCAAAGTGACCTGGGCATCCACCGTGTGCTCATGCCCTGCCCTCCAGCCCCACCTTCTGAGCGATGCTCCCTGGGGGGTGGGTCTCCGAGTTGTGAGAGGCGGAGGGAGGAAGGGAGGGCCGGGTTGCTGAAGCCTGGTGGGCCAAGGGGGCTCACTTGGAGCTGGAGAGGCACCCCCAGAGCCGCTCTGGCCTCCTCTCCATCGGGGACACCTGTACTAGGCAGGGGGGTTGGCGCAGGGGCTGGGGGGGATGGTTCTTCCTGACCCTGATCTGGACATGACCAAGGGCGTTCTCTGGAAGGACCCGGCTGTGGGAACAGAGGAGTAAAAGACAGGAGAAGGGAGACGGCCCAGTCTGCGCCCCTCCCACGCACACACTCCCGCCTGGAGACATGGGTCCTGCTGCTCTCTTGTTGGGGTCTGTGCTCCTGGAGCACACTGCATTTTAACCAGTAAAAACAAGCTCGAGGCTGCTGCAAAAGCCGGATTAGAGAACTCCGTCCTTGCCCTGCTATATCGCCAGGCGTTCTGTGCGCATACGTTTCCAGAGTGTCCGTGCTCATTGTGGAGCGTGGGACCGGGGGGCCCCTATGCTACTAGCCTCCGGGGCCATCGTAAACCTCCAGAGGGATCCGCAGACCCGGGCAGTGTTGGGGTGGGGGGCGCCCTGGCCTCAGGCTGACTGCATGTTCCTGTCTCTGCAGGTGGTGCCCCATCCGGGATCCCGCGCCCTCCGTGGCCTCTGGCTCAGGCGGGGGCCCTCCTGGTGAAGCGGTTCCAGCACACGCGCCGGGCCTGGAGGAGCTCCCTCTCCGACCTCCTGCTGCCTGTCCTCTTCGTGGCCTTGGCCATGGGCTTGTTCATGGTGAGGCCTCTGGCCATTGACTACCCGCCCCTCAAACTAACACCTGGCCATTATGACACAGCCGAAACTTACTTTTTCAGGTAAGAAACCTCCCCCACTCCCCTTCACTTCCAAATTATGTCAGGACGGATTATGAATATCAGTAGCTTTTAAGAATCACAAATATACGTGTGGTTTCATGATTTTGGAGGGCTGTGTTCAAGAGGGCAAGATCATGGAATGTAGCAAATCCTGTAAATACCTCGTTTTTTCCTCTACATACATACATACACACAATAAGTTTAATTCATGTATCAGGCACAGGAGAAGACTTATAACAGTAATAATAGGAAAATTATAACAATATACTGTAATAAAGTTATATGAATGTGGTCTGTCTTTAAATTTCTTTTTTTAAGTTGATTTATTCTTATTAAAATTTTTTTTAACGTTTATTTATTTTTGAGAGACAGAGACAGAGCAAACAGGGGAGGGGCAGAGAGAGAGGGAGACACAGAATCGGAAGCAAGCTCCAGGCTCTGAGCTGTCAGCACAGAGCCCGACGTGGGGCTCGAACTCATGGACCGTGAGACCATGACCTGAGCCGCAATCAAGACTGGTGTCTTAACCGACTCAGCCACCCAGGCGCCCCTGTCTCTTTAAATATCTTACTGTTCTGCACCCACCCCTCTTGTGAGGACTTGGGATGATAAAATGCGCCAGGTAGGAGATGCTGTAGGATGTTGTCTCAGGCCGCTACTGACCTGAAGAATTGTGGGAAGGATCTTCCGTTTCCAGAGCCACAGATCAGGGGGATTATTGTGTTTCACAGAACCCTCCAGCGTTGCTCTGGGACAGCAGCCAGGAACTGCAGGGCCCTCCCTGCAGAGAAATGTCTGACTTTTCTCTCTGTATGGCCGTGAGCCCACGCACACCCCCAGGCTAGATTCAGTCCAGCTTTGCTGCCA